ACTTTGATTTCAACGAATTCTTCAATTTCTCCATTGAAGGACTCTATTCGTTCGATTGGTTCAGGAGTTCTTAACTTCACGTGTCTTGGTTAATCTGTGTGTTTTTTGTTCGATATTACTTCTTCTGTGGTCATAAGTGGAGTCAAGAAATCTATGTGAGTTCCATTAAATAATTTGAACTCACATCATTGTATTTAGTGGAACTTACATCATATATATATATAATTAAATTAACTATAACAACAAGGTGTTAAAGAGTACTTGATAAGTTTGTTAAATGCCTATTCCCGTGTTTATAATAAATTTATGAACAATTTCGTTAATTATTATCTATTAAAAAATTATGAGGAACTGTCGTTAATTTATTTATTTACGGATTGCAAAAATGAAAAGTTCATCATTAATTTGATATAAAAGTAAGATTTTCAAAATTTGTTTAGAATGACTTAATTTATATATTACATAAATATGTAATATATTGTATTGTATCCTTCGCTTATTTTTATATTTAAATTCATCATTGATAAAAAAAAAATCTACGATTAGAAAGTGATTCTTGAGTAGTAATGCTTTTTATTTCATAATACTTAGCAATTAGTTGGGAAATTCTGAAAATCATATGTAATAATTTAAATGTCACACGATATCATATATAGTAATATAAGAATTTTTTTCACTTTAAGTTAACGATATTACTTTATCAGAATTTCTTTTTAATTAGTGGCTGCGAAAAAGAAAAAAAACTTACCAAGGAAATATGATCATTCGGTTTAATAATTTTTTTCAAAAAGATAAAAACGTTATTCAAATTTTCAATGTTTAATTTTCTATATTACTATAAGATGATATTATAGTGAAATGAAGCTATACTAAGTAAAGGTATTTTTCAAAAAATGAACTAAAAGTATGTTAAGATACTAATTAGCTATTTATTTAATAAGATTTCAATACATTGAATTTCTTTATTTAAATTTTAATTATGTTTAAAAATGAGGTTTATGTGTAAGAATGAAATTGTGAAAATTTCTTATTAAAGAAACACATAAAATATTAATAATAGTGTAATTAATTAATTGGTAATAATAAATACAAAGATAACAAATAAATAATAAAAAATATATTAAAATGTTAAAGATAATAATAATAATAAAAAATACTCTGTTTAGAAATAAGTTAATAAGTTAATGTTATATAAGTTTAACAAATAAGTTAATAAAAAATACCCTATTGACTTATATAAGTTTAACAAATAAGTTAATATTATCAAATACAACCAAAATCTATTTCAAGTTGATTTTTGGAAATTTAGATTTTTTATTAAGATTTTTATGCTGTCTCTCTAGCGACGGCAAGTATATAACATTCTATGAAATTCAGTGACATAAATCATGCTAAGCTGATTAGATAATACAGTGATAAGAGGACAGGAATGTTTGAAAATAGTGATTGGATGAACATGATTTTTTTTATACCTAAAATAACTGAAATATATGTTGTTCATTTTGTTTTACAAGTGGTATGGCCTGAAATGATGTCAAACATGAGTACATAGGCATTAAAGCAAAAGTTGATAAGATGTAGAAGGAAATATAGACATGACATAATGTATTTATATGAAAAGTTACCTCACCAAATTTCATCAACTTTTTGACTCTTTCGTCTTTCTTTTTAAAAGGCTATAGATTTCAGGATTTCAAACGTTATTGTTGTGTTGACCACCATGCTCTCTCATTCTTCTCCTATAATGATTGAAATTAATTTATCTCCTGTCTCAAGGGAAACTATATTTTCATTAAACTGAAACTAATACTAAATAAAAAACTAAAAATGTTGTTCAAATTAGAAACCATACAAGATAGGACATAAAAATGAGTTTCAATAATTTACAAGGTCACGGTGAGTTAAGTAGAGTTGAGTTGTAAAAATATTTAATTTTTTAAAATGTGAATCTTTAAACACAGTTCTTTAATTTGTAAATTAAATTGTTGAAGTTAGATTGAGTTGAGTTTGTAAATTAAATTCTTGAGTCAGATTGAGTTGAGCTGACTCAATAATAATTTTTTATTATTTTTTTTATCATTTTTCATATTTTTTTTATTATATATGTTGATAATTTGATATTTTTAAATACATAAATGTTGTTTAATAATATTTATATTGTTTGGATAATTAATTTAATTGTTTGTTAAGTTATTTCAACTAAATATGTGGATGTGTTGATTATACTATCATGAAAATTTAAATCACCAAAAGTATTGAGCAAATATATATTGTCTTGTTCTGGTTTCTTCAATAAATAATAATATAAGTACTAGGTATGAAAGAAATATCAAAGAGATCATTATTTCTTTTCCACGTTTTGACATTTTGCTTTGCAAATCCATAATAGCATGTGAAGAAAAGTTGCAATGTACATACAGTCTTTGGGGTGGAGGATTGCTTTGTTTACCCATAATTGTTTTACAACTTTTTACAGTAATTCTCATAATTCAAAAAATAAATAATTTACCATTTAATTTGTAATAATTTTAAATAATAATTTTTCTATTTTGCTTAGTTTGAATGAATTTCATTGCATCCCATCATAAATATTAACCATACATAATAAAAAAACTAATTCACTAATAAAATAGTATATACTTAGTTTGAATCATCATGATCAAAGTTTAATCTTTATTAGAATATTTATAGTTACACAAATCTAACAATTATTTTTTTCATTCACTTTTAGATCTATATAACTCTTAGATTTGTATGACTGCCTCGTCAACTTTCTCATAAATTTATTTTAAATTATTTGATTATTTTAAACTGTGTTTGTAGATTTTACTGTTCATGCGAGTGATTAATCCAAACTACATCCACGTTCGGTTACCTTATACTTAGGACACCCCAAAATTGTTTTCCTCTGTTCTTAGTCGTTCGAGCTGTTCTGATCACTGTTTTCTCTCCATACAGACAAAAGGGTGACACACCACGAAAAACGACATTGGGGTCTCCATTCCGTCAGCCATTGCAAGTCAAAGAACAAGTTGAATGTGAATTCTGCATTTGATTCTCCATTGCGCATCCACTCGAACAACGTCTTCACCTTGTGAGACGACACGAGCCCTAAACTAGAAAATTCCCCCAATTTGATTTTAATTTCCCACTTGTAGAGATGATGCATGTTTCAGCAAAAACAACAATATCATTTTTCATCTTTTCCCTTTCTTTAATTAATTTCAACAAAAATTATAATATATTTACTTAATTCTTTAATTCTAAATTTTAAAAAATCGCATTCACACAGGCCACGTCACACACTCGTTAACGCCGTTTTATGAAATTGACAGAAAATGATTTATTTGCATCAAATTAATAAAAATAAAGACCTAATTAAGACGAAAAAAAATGACCTATTTAAAATTATAGACGAAAATAGAGACCTATTGAGACATTAAATCTTATAATATTTAATAATTTTTCTATTAAAAAAAATGGGAAAGAGAAACAACAAAAGCTCCCCTGTTTTGGGTATATTTATATTAACTAATAGTTGGATGCTAAATAAGTAGTTTTTTTTAATGAAATAAGGTAGATGATTTGGTTTTATTCTTAATTAAGACTTTTTGTGCAATATGTTTCACTATTTAAAGATGATGTTTTTTAATATCACTTGCATTGTGAAGATTTAGAAAATAACTTTAGATAATTTATCTAATAATAGAATACTATAATATCTTAATAATAAAATATTAACTTATATAAAAATAATAATAAGAAAAATTTTATTTTTATAAAAATTATCACTGTTTTAAAGCCATTTTTTCACATTGGTTAAGTTATATAAAGGAATATTTAAAAAAAAAACTATTTTTATAAAATCACCATTATTCTATTATATTCTTACATACACTATGGACAACCTATTTTTAAGGGTATATTTTGATTATTAAAAATTTAATTTTTATATTTATAGAAAAATAGAAAAGTTAAAAAGTAAAATAATAATATAAATTGGTAAAACAATTTCAGATGTGAAAATAATAAACTTGGTACATTCTGTGGAGTGCAAACATGAAATTAACTTTTACTTTTTCTTTACAGAAGCCCTTCTTTCTGTTATGTTCTCTGGCAGTGACGTGATACAAGATGCTGCACCAACAAACATTCATCCAAAAGCTTCTGTCACATATCAATACTCATTTTCAATTTCATTCACTCTAAGGCTTCTCTTTCAAACCCATAGAGTAAAAACATTATCATTCTTAAGTTTATAACCATTATCATGTGGAATATTATCGTGGAATTCTATGTTGTTTAGAAGTTAAATTTAAGAATAGAGTATAAACATTATCATTCTCAAGATTATGAACACTCGAATTCTTCAATTCCTTGCTAATTCTTTTTTATATTAAAATTTTACATATTAAAATTGTAAAGGAGTAAGAGAGTACTAAAACGAACAATACATCACAAGCATGAACTTTTAATAATATGTATGCATACTTAACCTCAACACATTAATGTTAAAAGAGATTTTGAAAACTTCAAAGGATTTTTGAACATATCAAAGCATGTCATATGCCTCTCTCTCTATATATAAGAAAAATATTTAAATAATTTTATAGTTTCATGATGTTTTCTGGTAATATTATAAATAATAATTTATACTATTTAAATTATTGATAACCATAAAAACTCAAGACCATTGTTTCACTTAAAGTACTTTTTTACCATTTAAAACAAATATTATTTCATATAAAATATAATAAGCCTTTTGTTTAGTCACAGAACTTTTGGAAGTCTATAATATTATTATATTAGTTTAAATCAACATCTAAATTTAATTATGTAAAGAAATAATGGGTAATTAAAAAAAAGGTCATTTTCCAAGGGATAAAACTGCACTTTTTGTTTGTCGACAAAAAAGAAGTTTGAACCAAAGTCTCATGAAGTTTAATCAGCACCGCAGGCCTGGCCCAAAAACTAAAAAATAAATAGAAGCCCACTTTTGAAACTGAAGGCTCTATAAGTATTTGAACTCGTTTTGAAACCCTAGTTTTCAGTTGGTGTGGGTGAGGTAGAATCCTTCCACTGTGGTGACTGCGCGATGGGTATGTTCTCTCTGTCTACCTTTCCATTTGGATTATGTTTTGTTATCGTTTGTCAATCACGTTATGTTGGATCTGATGCATGAATGCGAATGATTATTTGGTTCCATAACAACAATTGCCCAACCTTCCCTCCATTGTTTCGGTAGAGCTTCCTGAAGAGGGTTTAGGGTTTTAGTGCAAAAGCTTAAATAAGAGAAACACCGTTGTATCGCCAAGTTGAACCATCTCGGTCGCTTCTTCTTGTGTCTCAGTGTTAATGTTTATTTTGATTTTGCTAGTCCTATCTGGCAATTAAGGTTTTAATCCTGCAGTGAACAATTTTTTATGGTCTGAAATCGTGTCTATTTTGTTTTCTTCGTAAATTGTTCTTTACTTTTTTTTTTTAGTTTCACGTCTCATATTGTTTAATGGCAGTAAGTGTTATCTGGGCTGTCAAAGTTGGAGTGTAGGATCTGATAGCCTTGTTTACTTTTGCTCTGCATATTTTTTTATAGTTGATAGTCAAATCCAAGGGTTTTTAAATTGAGTTGGCCTTTTGGAACGGGAGTTAATTGTTTTAGCGAAATAGTTGTTTATGATGCACTCTGATTTTGGTGGTGTAAATCTATTAAAGTTAAATGTTGGACAGGTTTGAGGTTTTTCATTAAATTAGGTTTAAGGACTCTTTGTCAATTTCGAATCTAATTATTAATCATATGTATCCTATCCTCTTAATTTGTGGGCATTTGTCACAATGTGGAAGTTGTAGTGTGTGGCTATTGAGGTCGACAAGTTGATATATATCTCTTGGTTATATTAATAAAATTACGTGGTGTATTTGTTGGAAGTGGTATTGATAGAGTTTTTTTTGGGTGTGATTGGCACAGGTGCCTACAAGTATGTTTCAGAGCTATGGCGCAAGAAGCAGTCAGATGTTATGCGCTTTTTGCAGCGGGTGAGGTGCTGGGAGTACAGGCAGCAGCCCTCCATTGTTCGTTTGACCAGGCCAACCCGCCCTGACAAAGCTCGTCGCTTGGGCTATAAGGCTAAGCAGGTAACTATTTATTTATAATTTTATTTTATTAATTACTTAAGTAGTAGTATACCATTTTATTTCAACCACTGTATTGTTTCAAATTACTTATTTCAATAAAATAATCGCACCTGGTATGCGTGTATATGTTGTTGTAAAGCTGTTTGTTTCAGTCCAGTGATGATTGTGGTTATGACACGACAGGGTTACGTTGTGTACCGTGTTCGTGTGCGTAGAGGTGGCAGAAAGAGACCAGTGCCCAAAGGTATTGTTTATGGTAAGCCAACAAACCAGGGTGTTACTCAATTAAAATTCCAGCGTAGCAAGAGGTCTGTTGCTGAGGAGCGAGCTGGACGGAAGCTGGGTGGACTTAGGGTCCTCAACTCTTACTGGGTGAATGAGGTTTGTTACTCACTTGTTGAGATTGAAATTTGATTGTGAATCATGTGCTGTTGTTGGTAAAATATTACTGTTATTTGTTTCAGGACTCGACTTACAAGTACTTCGAGATCATTCTGGTAGATGTTGCCCATGGTGCTATTAGAAATGATCCCAGAATCAATTGGCTCTGCAATCCAGTGCATAAGCACAGGGAGCTGCGTGGGCTTACCTCTGCAGGGAAAAGCAACAGGGGTTTACGTGGCAGAGGACATCTGTACCACAAGGCTCGTCCATCCCGCAGGGCAACCTGGAAGAGGAACAACACCCTGTCACTTCGCCGCTATCGTTAAGTTTGTGTTATCTTTTTTTGCTTCAATTTATTAATACTATTTTGAGGACATAGCACTTGTTTGATGTTTTGACTTTGGAATGAGTTTTGAACGCTTCAATACATCCTTTTCGATCAATGTCGAGTTTTTTCTTTTAATGGATATTAGCTAATCTACCACCATTTGAAATGAGTGGCCTTAGTAATTTTATGAAAGAAAACGATTTTGTTTATGGTCTTGTTTCAACTGCCAATTTAGATGAACCATTCGCTTCAATTAACTTCTAAAGCCAGTATAAAGGTTCTTATAAAGTAAATGTTTTTGTAAGTACAATTAGGCGAATTTTGGTATTAACTATGCTTAGGTAGAAACTATTAGCATAATAAATAATTAATTATTAATTATATTTGAAGCTCGGGAAGGCTTCGTTTATTTTAGCTTTTCAATATTATTTGTATACTATAATTCTCATTAATTTTTTTTCATTCTCTTAAATATAATTAGTTTAATTAAAGTTTTTAATACGGTTATTTTAAAATAAGATAATTAAATCTTCTATACGTAAATTAAGTAATATATTTGTATTTGACATATAGGTATCAATAATTTCCTTATAGTATTTATAATTTATTATAGTTTTAACTTTAAAGATATATATATATATATATATATATATATATATATATTGTTATAATATACTCTTAAATTATTTTATAATGATTTAATATTAGGGTGATGAGACAAACACCAAAAATTCAAGTACACACCTATTCAAGTTCAACACCAATCACATCATATTTTTATTTTAAAATATGTAATACGAAAAATCACCTACAAAATTAAAAATATTTTTATTAGGTGTTATAGGTATAGTAAAATTTAAAATTGTTTATGTAAATTTTTCCTGAATATTACACTGTCAAATTTAATCTGTAGAAAAAAGTGTTATCTTTAAGTGAAATGTAATGATACAAATATTATAAAAAATATATTATTTACTTAAACTAGGAAAAAAATTGTAATTGTTGTTTCAATTTAATAATAATCTTAGTCAATTTTATTATATTAATTAATGCAATATTTAATATTAAATTAATTATAATTCGCAATAAGATTGAGAAAGTAAAGTCACTTTTGAAACTAACATTTTTTCTAGACTATATTACAATTAAAGCCTTTATTTTACTCTAAATTATGATTGTATGTCGTTTTGATTAAATTTTTAGAATATTCTTAATCATATTGTTTAATTTGAATTTATGAATAGGCATTCGAATGTTAGATATTTTATGTTATATATATAATCCTTTACTCGATAGACCGTTTAAAAAAAAAGAAACCCAATGTACAGTTTTATGAGTAAGAATAGAGATGACAGTTTATTAAAAAGTAATTCTGGGGTTTACGTGGATTTCAATGGTTGGTACAGCTTTCTTTAAGATTCAGCAAAGCTTGCCGAATGGTATCCTCATCTTGGTTGCAATATTTAAGGCATAGCAAGCGCTGTGCAGCATGGTATATCCTCTGGATTGAATAGTGCTGTATACAGTTAACTTCCATTCTCTTCTCTTCCTAATCACACCAACAAGTCCACACAATATGTCAGTACTAGTTTGTATTTCAATCTTAACAGCTTCTCCACAACTAATATCAATGGATATGGACCAAATGCATCAAACCAATACTAACGACTTCAGATGAATTTTACTGTTGACAGTTTCATTAAAACTTCGGCGAGCTAATCCCCCAGTACGCGTTACTTAGAAATGGCTTATTTCAGTGTCGTTGACGAAATAGGAACTAATAAAAAATCAAAAGACCTTTTCTGCAATCCTAGTTGTGATGGCTCTGGCAGTCTCAATAACCGAACTTGGTAGTCCTGCAACTTCTGCTAACAGAAGGCCATAATGGGGGATACGTGTCGTTCCTTCCTTAAGCTGAAACTAAATTGAAAAAAAAAAAACAAAAAATTGAAACTAAAGAAAGCAGAATTTCAGCTCCTAGATAATTGTCCCAAACACAAAAAAACAACAAAATCATATTATAATAATATAAATAAATAATTGATTAGTTAAAAAAATATAATATTTTATATTCTGAAATAGGATTGTTGATAATATCATTATTTAAAAAGTACATAGAAATACCACCTTGAAGTCCAAGTGGTTGTTTTTTAAGTCCACAAGAAAGTGAAGAATTTTCACGTTGGGATAGATAGTTGCCAACTCTGATATGTTTTCCATATGACTGGCAAATATGGTATACCTGAAGAAGGATGGAAAAAATATGATTCAGGGAAAAGAAAGATCATCAGTTCAATAGCAACAATATGTTTTTTGGATGTTTGATGAAAACTTTACCAGCTTTAAGTTTTCCTTCAATTAACAATTTAACACCAAATCCATGTAACTTTTTTTTTATCAGTTGAAACCCGTGGAACCAATAACAAGTTTAGGATTTCATGTGCCTCTTAAGAAAAAAAAAAAGTCTGCAAAGGAACGTATTTCAAACAATAATTGATGTTTATAAATAAAAAGCTGAATTTTAAAACGGGAACCTTAGTCCCAATAAAAAAAATATATTAATGTTAGATGAATTTAAATATAAACAAAACTTAACCAATTCACTGCTAATAAATAATAGCATAATCTCCAATTAACATAATTAAGTAGCGTAAAAAATACTTTTTCCTTTATATAAAATTAAATGAACTTAACAAAAAAATCTAATACTTTTAAACAAAGTTTCTATTAATGTTTAGGTCCGACAATAATAATAATTTCTACATCTTCTCTTTTTTAGTTTCAAACTGATTTTTTATTTTGTTAAAATTGATTGCATTATTTCATTCCAATAAAATTAACTACTTAAAATTATATTTAACGAACTTATTTAAACAAAAAATAATTCTGATTATGTTCATTTAACATAATAATTGGATTTTTGTAACTTTCGATCGAGTTACAATCTAAGATATTATTAGTGCATATTGATAATAAAAAAGGAAGAGAGATTACGCTTTTAGTGACAAAAGATGCTCGCAGCAACTCCACGCCATTGCAAATCCATCTGTGGATGAAGTAGCCCTCCCAAGTTCATCCATAACAATCAGACTCCTGCGCCCATCAAAATTTTTGTACGAAAAAATTAAACCTGTTGTGTATGTAGAGTTTAGCAGATAAAAGGTGCAGCATTACCTTCGCGAAACATTCTGCATGATAAAAGCTGTTTCTTTCATCTCTGTCGTGAACTACATATCCATATAACTTAATCTATAATTCTAAACCACATGATCGGGATCAAATTGTCTCACAACGCGGCTGTTTAGAAATTGTACCGTGCTAGAGTTGGATTCAAGATTATCAACTGCGCCCATCCTTGTAAACATACGATCAACTACCCTAAGAGTTGAGAAACGAGCAGGAACATAACATCCAACTTGAGCAAGAATAACTATGAGACACAGTTGTTGAAGGTATGTACTCTTTCCACTCCTGGGGGAAGGGAATGTAGAAAATAAATCTCAATTTGATATTCTTCATGTAAGCAGATATCTATACAAATATAAGGTACTTTTTGCACTAGCTCATAAATATATCAAATTTCTTACATATTGGGGCCCATTACAATCACCATGTTTGAGGCTTCCGACAAAAATATATTATTGGCCTGAAATGCGAAAAGATTAATTACTGCCAAAAATGGTGCAGAATCCATCTACGGGAGAAAAATGTGGTCCTGTGGAGATAAGTTATAGTGACTATTGGATATGTTCATTACGTACAACAAAGTCATTGTGTATGCTCTCCAGGATTGGGTGTCTACCAGAATCAATTGCCAATGGCCCATTCTCTATCCAAGAAAAATATGAATAATGAAATTTCTTCATTGATGAACAAAAAAATTATAGAAACGATCAATTTTTTATTACCTGTAAATTCTGGTCTTGTATATCTATCAACGGGCTTAGTTGATATCATATGAGCAAATGAATTGACAATCATATCCAGCAAGCACAAGACTTCAGCAAGTAGTGTCAACACAGAGACATTCTCACGAATGTTATCCATAAGTTCTGCATTTTTTTTCTATTACAATTGATATAAATTCAATGCTTGAAAACATGAGATAAAGCAAGTCCAAGGAACTAAATAGATACATCTTCATCGGGATATGTTGTAGTTAATTTTACAATTGTTAACATCTACAAAGATAAAATCCAATCTAAATTAATACATCAGTTACATGCTAAACTATATCAACTTAATCATGTGAGGTTAGATCAATTTTAAAATAATGCTAGCAAAAACATGGTGATAACAAAAACATTGCATTATGTTTGCTGCATAAATGCAATGCAACAACCAGAATTTTCCAACTAATGCAGTAATATTTCACTAGTTTCCTTTCTTGTCAACAGCCGAAGTCAACACAACTAGTTTAATATATGCAGTCATTTACAAATAAACAAAGAGCAAACATGCCAAGCCTTTGAACATTTGTACTGGCAAATGGCAGTGTGTCAAGTACTACCTTCCAGACAAACCTCTGTTCTTGTATAGCATTCTGCAGCTGCAGATTTATTCCTAGCGTTCAACTGAAATTTTCATTAAAATAAATGAAAATGGAGATCTTCAAAAGCCTAAACAAGCTTCTGAATAAAGTAACAACTTATAGTCTGGTATCATATCAAACAAATGCAACAGCATTTTGTGTCATACTTCTAGCTAGAAGCTTGAGTGATATTTGAGAGTTTGGGAATCAAAATCCGTTTTGGGGCCAACAAAAAAACTAGAAGGTGATTTCCACAATTAAAAGCCAAATGTCTAATCAACAGGACAACTTACAAGAGTCCTTAGCACAGGAGCCATCTCATAATAAAAGAATCTCCATAAACTTGAAGGAGGCAGATGGAACAGAAATGTATCCTCATGTAAATGAATTTCATGATTTTATTCTGTGGTGAAAATTAGTGAATACCCCTTTCTTCATGGACATTCACAAACTTTGACAGGGCCTCCATCTATTTAATATTTATGAAGGGAGAGATACACAAACTTTTCACATGACTTATCACGAGAAAATCCATTCTTGTTTACAGTAATCATTTTCTTCTTGGGATAAAAGAGTTGGCC